GGTCTGCCCCTGCTGTGGGTTCCTGCTCCCCCTCTGGGTTTGGACTGCAGGCCAAAAGGGGCCTGGTGTGGGCGAGCTTCCCCGCTCACCTCTGGCTCCTGAGTGAGCCTTCTGCAGGCAGTCTTTACTGAAGAAATATCCCTGTTCTAAAATGGCGATGCTGGATGCGCTCCCTGCGCGTCCGGTCACAGGCACACTTCTGCGCGCCCGGTCTGCCCCAGCCGTGGCTGCCCACTCCCCCTGTGGGCTCAGACTGATGGTCTGAAGGGGCCTGGGGTGGCCTAACTTCCCAGCTGGCCACAGACTCCTCCCGGAGCTTTCTGCCGGTTTCAAGCACTCTTTTCTGAAGAAAGGTCCCTGTTCTATGGGTGTTAGTGACTTTTTTTCTGCTCGCTAGGTGGTGCCAGAGATCTCTCCTAATGTCCTTGGGGAGCTGTTTTTTTACCCTGTGGGACAGGGAACAGTGTGGGAATGGTAGGGAGAACCTCAACGGCTTTGGGGTGCTGTGTCTGCCTTGTACCCCACCGACGTGGAGGACCCACGCCCCGAATTTCGTGCCCCGGGTCTCAGTTCCAAAGCCCTCAGGTCCAGGACACGGGCTGTAGCCCAGTTCAGTGGCCACAGGAATTTCGCCTTTTTCACCCCACTCCCGTGTCCGGGCGCCTGGTTTCTGTTTACTCAGTGAGGGACTTTCACCTCAGTGAGGGCCCCCGCGCATTTCCCTGCAAGCCTAGGTCGCAGGCGTGGGTACCTGGGCAGCCATGATCCTCGCTTGCTTTTTAAGTGTGCCGCTTTTCCGCGTAAGCTTACCGGCTGGCCCTGGACTGTGTGCAGGTCTCCGGGGGGGTCTCTGTTCTCTAATGGTGCTTGGAGCCGTTCGCTCACCTCTACAGCAAATCCTGCAGGGTTCTCCACACCTCCAGTTCACGGGGTGTGGTGGCTGAAATAGTTCCTTTCCACTCCCAGTCCCACTTGATGCATAGTTTGTTCTTATTGGTCATTTTAGTTTGTTTTTTTCCTCCTTTCTGTTGGTTGGAGAGTGCCAACTTTGTGGGTGGGGGAGTGTAACAGGTTTCTGCTCTTTCCTCCCTTCTAGTCCTCTTTTATGGCAACTTTCTTCTTCGGGTAGTTTGTTGGAGTCATCCGTTTATCTTCCATGTCCCAGTTCTCACTGGGACCTGCCGCTTTTCCTCCCTATTAACTTTTTTTTTAATGGGAGATCTTACTCACTGCCTCTCCTCGCAGCCATGTTGCATAGTCCTCTTGCCACCAGCAATCTTCACAGGAAGTTGAGCGGTGAGTGATTTGGTTCCAAAACACTATCTTATTGCCGCCTTTCTCAGATCACTCCTGGTGCCAACTGTTGCTGATTGAGTTTTCCAGAAGCAGATATGAGGCATAATTGTGATATAAGATAGGAGGAATTAACATCTGAAAGGCAGCGAGAGGGGGTCCCACAGAGTCCCATCGCTGCAATGAGTGGTCATGGGTCCTGGGCAAGGAACCACCGATGTAGTGCCCTCTAAGTTCTTTGGTTTGAAGTTTCAAAGAGGGAAAGATATCGTACCAGGGTTGTGAACACTGGCCAGCAGATACAAGAGTCCTGGGTCCTACTGCTGGGTTATGTTGAAATTCACAGAGTCCTCAGGAAGGCACATCCATGGGTGCTACTGCTGCAGCTGCTTCAGAGGAGACATCTGATGCGGGCACTAGCTTCCAAGAAGGTGGTTCAAGATCCTCACAGAACCCACCAGTTACCGAGCCCTTCCGCAGAGGCCCTGCTAGTCTATGAGCCTAGACTGAGCCTCAAACTGGTGATTTTGTGTTCATGTCTTGTGAGACAACAGTGTCAATATATGCACTTCCCCGATGGCTCAAGCCTGCCGGAGCAGCCAGGGCCTTGCTGCGTGGTTGTCGATCAGAGGTGGCTTCTTCACTTGGGACAAGCGACAAAGGCAACGCCAAGTCCTGGGACGGGCATCCCTCCAGAGGCCAAGTTCACCTCCCAGTATTGTCTGCTCAAGCCTCCGGGCATCATGGCACCCTCCAGCTTCTCTAGAAAAGTTTTTTTTTTTAAGGGTACTATTCAATTCTATGATGAATGTAGTAAGACAGATTATTTCATAATCTGCTGATGGTTGTAGACATTTTGTAACTTTTTTGGAAAATAGTTTTGTTGTGTATGTCAAGAATCTTATTTATACTCCTTTACTCAGTATTTCTTGATTATTTCTTAGGACTCCATTTTGGGAAAATAATAAAAATCATATTATACATACCGCATATATAAATAAACACATACATATATATTATAAAATTATTTAAAGTAGTGAAAAACTGTAAATAACCCAAATGAATATTTAGTTAAATTATGGTAAATTGGTATGTTGATAGTATACAACTATTGAAAATTTATTACTAAGTATGATATGGGAGGAATGGACTGTGGTGGAGGACTATGGATGCCTTAATGTATGGTAGTTGTGGTGTGGTAACATACATCCGAAGAGGTGTGATCCTATACTTCTGAATCGTATACCATATTGTAAACCAATGTTGCCTCAATTAAAAAAAAAAGAAAATGTTCTATGTGAATTTTCAAAGGATAATAGCTGATGGCGTTGTTCCCAATGGTAAAATTTGAGCTTCTAATAATAACTTTGGAAAATGTAAAAAGAAATAAAGATATGGGAAAATATTTATGATATAATATTAAGAGGGGTAAAAGGGGATTCTAAATAGTATGTATAGTATAATCTCAAATATGTCAAAAACACACACACACACACACATATATATATATACATATATATGTGTGTGTGTGTGTGTGTGTGTGTGTATATATATATATATACACACAAACAATTTAAAGAGCGGACCACAAAAGGCTAGCAGTGGTTATTACTTCAAGATGCTGGGATTTTAGTGATTTTCATTTTGGGAAGATTTATGATGGTATGATTAGTGAACAGGAAAACATTAATAATAGCATGATTCGTGAATAGGGAAGCAGTAGTGCCTAAAACTTAAAAATTAAATTGTTGTAGTATATAGCAGAAGCAGTTTCTGGGGAAGAGGTAGTCTTAAGGAAAGATATCCCTAAGTTCAAATCCTAGACCTGCTTCTTTTTATGTTGTTTTGGGTAAAATTACCTCGTCACTCTGATTTTCTTTCTCCATATGTAAGCTGGTGATAATACCTAACCTATTGGGCTTGAAAGATTATAATCTGGCACATAATTGCTACTTAGTAAGTTTATTATTTTAATCCATCAGGAGGCTTTCCACAGTGACCGCTTCATGACATGAAGTGGAATCTCTGCAGTTTCCTCTTTAATTTAGAATTTGAAAGATTTTTGTTAGGTTATTCATCTGTGTTAGATTTCTTTTTTTTTATTTTTATATTTTTATTTTTATTTATTTTTTATATTTTATACATTTTTACATCATTTTTCATTTTTGCACAATATATGCTTTTTCATCTTGGTTATAGTCCCCATATAATTCCCACCCCCCTTATTTTGACCATAATCCCTCCTATCTTGATCTAGTTCCTGCCTTAGAAGTTATCCTTCCTCAAAAGTTAATAAGTAACAAATATTTTTATTCTTTATAAAATATGTGAAAATGATATACATTTACCATCATAATATTTGAATGAACTCTCCTAAAAGTTAGATAATAAACAGTCTATTTTTCTAAAGATAATTTTTGAAAGCAGGTGTGTAGTACCACAATTTGTCTTTGAACTGCTCTTTTACTGAAATTTTACTTGTAAATTAAAGTCTGTTATGTAATTCAATGCTCATAATTCTAAATGGGCAAAATAATCATAAAATTTTATTCACAAACTTTTTAATGAAATAATCACTTTTTTGACAAGTTGCTTTGCTAATCCAAATGCCTTTGCAAATCTGAAAAAATTATGTCTAATGGTTGCATAGTGTCCAATTTTATAAGCAAATTAACACTCATGAATGAAAAGATATAACCTATAATAGAAATGCCTCATGGTTGCACACATAGCACTTTACAATTTACAAAACTTTTCCCCCACTCTTAACAACAACCTTGTTATATAGATACAACAGATATTATTATCCTAATTTTACATTTTTGGAAATTGAAAACCAGAGGGCTAAGTTACATGTCAAACTTTACACTGCCAATTCTGATTCCAAGTTTTTTTTTTTTTTTTTTTTTTACTTTACCATAGCAGATTTTTTCATAGATGCAAAATTATTGAGAAATACAGTGCCATTAAAATCCTGTAATTTAGTAGGATAACAGAGGTCTGGAGCTACTTCTTATGTCAGAGATGGGTTTTAGCACTTTGTTTAGAAGGAAGGAAATACAGTGGAGTATGTCAGTGATCTATGGGTGATTTGGATTGGGTGCACTACGGTCACAGCCCCTGATGGGGAGGATCCTAATGCTACCTCATTCAAAAGAATAAATAAATGTAAAACATAGAATTTGTTTAATATGGGACTACTAATTTAATAATATGCATTGGTATACTAGAAGCTTTGATTTAATAGCATGACTAAGAGCAAAATTCCTGAGAATTGAAGTTAGGCAGTTAAAGTCATAGAAATAGTGGAATTACCAATGCTAAAATGATAATCTGGCTTCTCTTCAGATTGTATAAATATTTTGCCTTTTACCAATGCTGAAACAAAACATCCCTTATATATTAAAGACCCTGACAACATCACTATATTTTGGTAGTGTATTAAAATTAATCATATTATAACCTAAGTCATTTAAAAAATAAATCCAGTATAATGCATTCACTCTAAGAAGATATATGAATCACATTGCTTTGGGAAATTTACATTAAAAGTGAAGAGAAGGATTCTCAAAGAGGTTAGTTTCATCTGTTTACTTAATGTTCTTATTATTTGCTCAGATTTGTCTGCTTAAAGGTTTTTAATGAAGTAACTTTAAAAGATATCAACATTGTAAAAAGTCAAATGGTAAATTATCATTTTATTCTAGGTTCTGTTTACAGAGGAGGATGTGAAATTCTATCTTGCTGAACTGGCCCTTGCTTTGGATCATCTGCACCAATTAGGAATTGTATATAGAGACCTGAAACCAGAAAAGTAAAGCTATGTTTTCCTTACATATCCCTGTAATTACTATATTTCTCTAGCTAACTTTTTGACCTTCTTTGATTAATATTTTATTTTAAAGATTATATGAAAATATGTATGAATTACACCATTATATGAAGCTTATAAAAGTTAATCATAGTAGCATACCATTTGATACAACTAATCATTTAAAAAATTCCCAGTACATCAAGTACTGACTTTTTGAAAATTTATGACATTTATGCAAATGTTTTATATAAAATATTTCATCTTACTGAATGTAAATTTTGATTTACAGCATTTTACTAGATGAAGTGGGACATATCAAGTTAACAGGTATGCATTTTTTAATTCTACGCTAAGCTCATTAATATATTTTTTGTTACTTTAATATATGTCTAAGCCTATTTTCTTTTTTCTTCTTTTTTGATTTGATTTATATTTTATTCACCTCTTTAATGAACCAAAGTTAAAGGGTAGAAAGGGTTTTGATATGTTCTAATTGTAATACCAATAAAAGTAAATACAAGAGAGTAACTACCCTAATTAATAAATGACATTTGATTTTCCAGGTAAAAACGCATCATCTTGGTTTAACTCTAGATTGAGGGGTTTATTACAGGTAGCAATTGTATTTGAATATAGGGATAACTTTTTAAAAACTTTTAAGTCAAGTGTTCCATAATCAAATCAAGTTTATTTTGTTTTTTATTTGTATAAAACATTTTTATTTTACTTACTCTATTTTCACTATTGAGATTTTATTATATATAACACGCTGCTAATCCTTACAGAACTTTTAGGCATAAAGCATTCTTATTATAACATTCACAAATTTTTTTATTTTGAAATAATTATAGGCTCACAATAAGTTGCCAAAATAATATCAAGATCCTATGTACCCTTCACCCAGCTTCCCTCAATGGTGACATCTTATAAACCTGCAGTGCATTATTAAATCCAGGACCTTGATTGGTACAGTACAACTAATCGAATGACATACTTTACTTGAATTCATCAGTTTTTACATGCATTTGATTTTTTGTTTCTCTTTCTGTATAGTTCTTTGACATTTTGTCACATAGATTCGAATACCAGTACTAAAATCAATATTCAGAACTGTTCTATAGCTACAAAATAGTTCTCTTGTGCTGCACATTTATAGTTACGTGCTTCATCATCTTTCCCTAACTCCTAGCTACCAATTCTCTGTTCTATGTCTTGACTTTTTTTTTAAATTTTAGAATATTGTATAAATATGACCATACAGTAGTCACACCTCTGAGCTCTAATCCTTGAGAAATGAAAACGTAGGTGCACACAAAATCTTATATGAAGTTTCAGAGCAACTCTGTAATAGAGATCTCAGTTGTCCTTCAGAGAGGCTGAATGGATGAACTTACACACACACACACACACACACACACACAGCGAGAGAGACAGGAATACTACTTACCACTAAAAAAGAAATAACTCATGGCATATGCAACAACTTGGATGAACTCAAGGTCATTTTGCTGAGTGAGCCAATCTCAAAAGGTTAATTATGTTTTAAATAGATAGTAAATTCTGTATTTAATTATCAGAATTTTAAAACAGAGATAAAATGAAGATGTGGTCTTTACAGAGAATTTTGGACCTGTGTACTTTAAAGGTAAGTTGCTTTAAATTTCTAAGTATACTACTTAAATGTAATGATAAAGTATGAAGTTATTAACTTAAAAATGCAAGCAAATGTGTCAAAAATCAAAATCAGTTTTATGAAACTTATTGATTTATAACCTGATTTTCTTTCATATATAAAAGAAGCATTGCAAATTTAAGGGAATTAAAAGAGGAAAAGGGAAGAAAAATGAAGCGAGTACAGTACTTTTGAGATTGTACATATTATAAAATTTTATTTTGTAGCAGTCAAACTTTAGTTGTAAAGATAACTAGAACTTTTAATTATTTTAATTTTGCTTAATAAATTTTATCGATTTCATCAGGGGTGAGGAAGGGAGGTGGAAAGAGAGTAACATAAATCCTACTTATATTTCTCTTCTACATCAAGGTTAATTGGGTGATTAATGTATCAGATTTTTTATATTTAGTCTTATATGCATCTTTATATGGATTCTTAAATATGTTAAACACACTTTTCATGCTTTGAAGGTGAGAATAGTTAGAATCAATGTTAATTTATAAGCAAGACACACAAGACATGTGACAAGAAGAAAATGTGATTTATATGTTATTTCACAATTCAATCTATTTTCCTTAACATAGCACCAATATTTCTTTAAAGAAAGTGAACAATTACAAATATTGGATAATTTATACTGTTTTATGTTTATAGCTGAATTCAGCATTTTTCTGCTCTATGATATATTTATGTATTTATCCTCAAAACTTTCCAGTAAGTCTGCTTAAAGTGATCATTCACAAGTATTTTAAGACCATTTTTCAGCCTTTATTTTATTCCTTCTTTCCTTTTTTTCTTTTCTTCCTTTTTCGCTTTCTACCTTTTGTTCGTTTCCATCTTGAGTGTCTTTCCTCTTTTCCTCCCTCCTTCCCTGCTTGTCTCCTTCCCTCCACTTAAATACCATAGTCAGAAATCACCAAATTAATTGTTAATCATATCAGTGGGCTGTGCATGGGTTGTAGAGATTTACCAATGTCACGTCTAGTCTCGGCATTCTGAATTTCCCAGGATAATCTTACAGAGGGACAATACCCTTTTTTTTTTTGCCTGTTCACTATAAAAAAATCTTCCACATGTGAAGAATGGACGTAATGGTTAGTAGATTACTCAGGAATGTCAGTGCACTATAAAAAGGTTCCTTGGTATGACTGTGCTTTGAGCCTGATTAATTTCATAATCAGATTATGAATATATAACAGTTCAGTGGAGTGAGAATGGGTACCCTCCAAGATAACTGTACACTTGTTAATATATTATTTATATTGTCCTTATGTCTTTTTTTTTTCTTGGATACATACACTCAATCACACACACACAGACACACATACACACACTTACACTAACTATGTGGATATCCTGGTGAAAGAAATGTTAACTAATAACATGTTAAAAGTGATAAATTGAACACACAGTTGCTTTTTTAAAGCCTGTGGTTGTTATAATGTATTTTCCGAGGGATATAATTCAGGGGTAATTTCTATAAAGGGAAAGAAAAAGCATACATTGTCAGAAATTTAAATCACATAATACTTGACCTGAGTTTTTGTGAGAAAATAAGTACTTGAAGTAATTCTAAGTAATTTTTACCTTTATCAAAACAGTAACCAGTATTGCTTACAATAAATACTAGTTACATTATTGTGTTCTGGGCATGCTTTTAAAATCTAAAGCCATATAAAGGGATGGTTACAAATACTGACACCCTCCCCAAACAAAAGAACCCTTTATGTAGCTGATTTCTATATTTTCTTTTCAAATAACTAGTGTGGAAAAAACATTGATTAAGGTATGTCTTATTTACTATTGTAGCTAACTCTTATGATTGTAATTTTTTTTTAAATTGGCTGATGAGCAAATTCTACTGAGTTTTCTCAGAAATAGTACAGCAAAAGACCTCTGTGGTGTGGCATAAATCGCTGAAAGTTAACAGAGCATAAGAAAATTATCTTCCTTATTCCTCCTTTCTGGAATGCCCAAAGAGGCAGTGTTCTTCTCTACAGGTATGTTGTTATATTCAGCTGAACTGAACTTGAAGATCAGCTCTTATTTATGTTTAATTTTTAACAAGGAATGTTCAGAATTTAAAAGGCTCAAAATGCAGAGAAAGAACATTATGATACTAAACAAGATTTTTTAAAACATATGCCGAAATCATAATACATTCAGTTATTATATAAGGATAAGTGATTTTTAAGTGAAAATACTGAACATGGTTATACAAACAGTATCAAGGGGCCCTAAAATTAAGTGTCATTGTTGGTATTTTATTTAAAGTAAAATATAGCTTCTTTCTCTATAGAATTAAAGTATAATTTACATAGAATAAAATATAATATTTTGGATTCTTATGGTGATAGAATTTTTCTGATCTTGGTCTTCCTTATTTTCAAGATTATGGTTGTGCTATTGTACTATAATTTTGAAAAATATTATCTGGGGGAAACTGGGTAAAAGCATTAAGAGAATCTGTGTAGTATTTCACATGTATATATGTGCATGTGAATCTGTAGTGATTTCAATATAAAGTTTGATATTTAAAAAAAAAAAAAACATTACTTGGGCCTTCCTGGTGGCGCAAGGGGTTAAGCACCTCACTATGGGGTGGTTTGCAGCCTTTGCAGCACAAGTTTGATCCCCGGCCGGCCAGGGAGCAACCCACATGGCACGGCAGACCTCTCCTGACTTGCCCGCTTCTCCCCTCAGCAGTGTACTTCAGTCAATCTGCCTGTTCTGTTCCCCACTCTGTCTCTGGTGAATCCTCTCACCAACCCCCCGCATCTCTGGCCTGCACCCCAGCTTTTGTATGCATTAATAAATCTTTAAAAAAAATTAAAAAAACATTAATTTTTCCATGTATAATTCTCTAAACTTTGACACATGCATAGTCTTGTAAGCACCATCAAAATCAATATATAAAACAGTTCTGGACATCAAAAGGAGAAGGAAACCTCAACATCCCCTCACACCACTACTGCAGCTGCAACCAGCACCTCTGATACTCTGCAAGGTGCCCGGTAAATTCTCCCTGCCCAGTTTCTGAGGAAAGGGAAGCTCTAGCATCTGTCCACTGCCACTGCCATTGTAGCCAGACCCCTGCCGCTCCACAAAACACCAGGTGAGCACAACCCTCCTGGCCTCAGAGATGAAGGAAACTCCAGCATCCCCCAGCGACTATTGCCATTTCAGACAGCCCTGCACGACTCCCCAAGGTACCAGGTGAATGTGCCCCATCTGCCCTCAGAGGAGGAGGAAGCCTCATCATCCCCACCCACCAACTACTGAGCAGCAATGCAAAGTCATGGGAGTAGACCCTGAAAAGAGCCCAGGCTTGTTTGAGAAGAAGAGCAAAAGCCACACCCACAGCTGGGCAATGGGAAAACTAACAATGGGGAGAAGGAAGAACACAGCAAATTGCCACACAAGTACTCAGGGGAACAAAATACCAGTGAGGGAGAATGTCTTTGGGACTAAACTACAAAGAGATGGAAGATATAGGCTTCCTTTCAGATGCAGAATTCAAAATTGCCATGATGAAGAAAATTAAAGAATTTGAATTAAAGAAAATAAAAGAAAATGAATGTCATGAGAAATAAGATCAACACAACAGGTGATCTTAAGACGATGAACTGAAGACCAAAATTGAAGTTCTAACTAAAGAGAAATATGGAGATTCAGGATATAAAAAGAACATTATAGGAGTTATAAAAAAAGAGAGCTATGGAAGTAGAATAGACAAAATGGAAGAACAAATCAGTGTATTTGAAGATGTGAAATTAAACAAGGAATATGGGTAGAAAAGTAAAAAGAGAAACAAAGTAAAAAAAAAAATGAAGAAATACTCTGAGATTTATTTGACTCCATGAGGAAAGGAAATATAAGAATAATGGGAATAACAGAGGGAGAAGATAGGGGGGAAACAAAGTAAATTTAAAGAAATTATGGAGGAAAACTTCCTGAATTTAGAAAAGGTAAAAATGTACAAATCCAGGAAGCTTAAAGAATCCCAGGGTATCTAAATAAAGTGAGACTGACAGCAAAACATTTAGTAGTAAGACATTCAAAATTTCAAGATGAAGAAAATATTGAAGCTGGCAAGGGGAAGGAAGCAGATAACTTATAAAGGCACCTCAATGAGGCTAAAATCAGACTACTCTGAAGAAATACTATGCACAAGGAGTGAATGGAACAGCATATGCCAAATATTAAAGATAAAAACTAGCAGCCAAAAACAATTTATCCTGCAAAACTCTCCTTCAGATATGAAGGAAAGGAGTTACAAAATCCTTTGCAAACAAAAAGAACCTGGAGGAATTTGCAAACAAACGACCCTTCTTCCCGCCAAGAAATATTGAAAGGAGTTCTTATATCTAACCCCCCAAAAAAGAAAGATATACAAATAACTGAATGATGAAATAGATAGAACCACATAAAGCTAAGGAACAAATCACAGCAACAGATTTTCATACATCAGTAATCACTAAATATATATAGGCTGAACTCACCAATTAAAAGGCACAAAATATCTAGCTACATCAAGAATCAGAACCCAGCTCTCCACTCTCTCCAGGAAATAAACTGAGCTCCAAAGATAAACTGAGAAAAAATGGTTGGGAAAAAAATCCTACAATAATAATTATCAATTAATTATATTGATTTGTTTCCTGTATAATGAGTCAACCTTTTAGCCCTGGGGTTAACCTCACCTGTTTTTTTTTTTTTTTAATTTTAAATATTGTACTTTGTTCCATCATTTTATTTGACTCTTCTTTAGAACTTCTATTTTTTTTTTGCTAAGGTTTTCTATTTTAATATTTGTTTCAGTGTGTTATTGTGATCATTTTTAAAGCACCTGCTTTAATGTCTTTGTTAGAGAATTCCTACATCTTTGTCATCTTGCCATTGGTTTCTATTACATTTTACCATCTGGGTTTAAATTCTTGTGGTTCTTCATATGTCAAATAACTTCAGATTGTATTCTTGTCATTTTAAATATTAAGCTATGAGATTCTGGATCTTCTTTAAATTCTATGGATGATGTTGATATTTTCAGCTTTAGCAGGCAGTTGACCTAGTTAGATTTAGGTGGCACGTTTCAACCCAATTCTGTAGGTTATTGTTCCAATGTAAGTTCAATTCTAAGGTCATTCTGGGACATTGACAATAGTTATTAATTATTTAAGTTTTCAAAGTCTTTGATACATTGTTTTAGGATTTGATCCCCAAATGTGTGGCTCAGGGGTAAATGCTGGAATTCATAAACAAAGAAAATCTAAATAAATTGCTTTGCTATGTTCATGGATTAAATTTTTTAATATTATTGTAATGACTTAGGGAACACTACATCAGGAAGACATAAAATTAATCAATCTATATATACTCAACAAATGAAGGGGCACCAAAATATATTTCTCAACTACTATTAACTCTAAAAACAGACATTGGGGAAAAAAAAAACACAGTTGTAGTAGGGGACTTTTAACACCCCACTCTCACCTCTGGAAAATCAGCTAGACAGAAAATAAATAGGGAAACAATAGCCTTAAGCAAAGAATTAGACCACATGGACCTAATGTGTAGTTATACACACACATATATGATACTGCACCCCCCAAAACCTGAATATACATGTTTCTCAAGTACACTTGGAACATTATACAGGATTCATCATATATTGGGTCACAACACAAGTATCAGCAAATTCAAAAAGATCAAAATCATACCAAGCATCTTCTGTGACCATAAAGATATCAAACTAGAAATCATCCACAGAAAGAAAACAGGGGCACATACAGACCAATGGAAGAGAATAGATAACCTAGAGGCAAACCTAAGTGGGCAGTTAATCTATGAAAAGACAATTAAGAATATGCCCTGGAGCATGGACAGCCTCTTCCAATAAGTGGTGTTAGGAGAACTGGACAGTTTTGCATGAAAAAATTAAAGTAGATCACTATCTCACACCATACATAAAAATCAATTCAAAATGGATTAACAATTGGACATAAGACCTGAAACAATACAATACATAGAAAAAAATCATAGGCAAAACACTTCTTGACATATGTTTCAGGGACATAATTTGAAAATTCTTCTGTAGCAGCAATTATAAAAGGAACTACATAAAACAATAAATCTCTTGTATAGCAAAAGAAACTGTCACCAAAACAAAAGGACCCCCCCGGTAAATGGGAGAAATAATTGCACACCATGTATCTGAAAGGGGCTAATGTAAAAGATTTGCAAAGATCTCATACAACTAAACAAAAAGAAAGCATCCCAATTTAAAAATGGGCAGAAGAACTAATAGGCACTTATCCAAAGAAGACATGTAAATGGCCCATAGGCACATGAAAAAATATTGTTCATCACATTGTCAGAGAAATGCAACCACAATGAGATGCCATCTCACAACTGTGAGAATAACCCATATCAGAAAGTCCAGAAATAATAAATGCTGATGAGGATGTGTAGGAAAAGAATCCTACTATACTTTTGGTGGGAATGTAGATTTGTCAAGCCCTGCGGAGAAACAGCATGGCAGTTTCTCAAAAGTCTATGAATGGATGGGTCTTCATTATCTAACTCAGCAATTCCACTCCTCGGTATCTACCAGAAGAATACAAAAGCACTAACTTGTAAGGAAACTTGCACTCACATGTTCATTGAAGAACTGTTTACATTAGCCAGGATATGGAAACAACCTAAATGTCCCCAAACAGTTGAATGGATTAAGAAGATGTTTGTGTATTGGACTATTCGGCTATCAAAAGATAAACTTTTGCCATTTATGGCAACATGAATGGAGCTGGAAGGGAAAATAAGATCAACCATATGAAAAAAAGAAGTGCTGGATGGTGTCAGTTACATGTGGAATATAGGAAAACAAAACAAAGGGTTAGATAAAGCCAAACTAAAAATCTAACCCTAGAAGGCTCACTGTGGAATGGGGCCAACCAGAAGGGTAGGAGGAAGGACAAAATGAGAGACAAGAATGAAGAAGGGAGGAAGAGTAGTGTCTGTGGTGATGAATCATGGGTTCTTTGGTGGTGGGCACATTTTTGGCAGTGAAGCCTCAAGGGTGGATCCTATACTTCTGTTATGGAAACAATGATGCTAACCAAAATTAATAAAAAATATTAAAACAAAATTTTCTGTTAATAATACTCAATGAATATATATTTTATCATTGTATTCTCCAAAAGGCATTATATAAAAATGTGGGGTTTTCATGCATGTAATAATATATGTATAATAAATATGAAAGAAAGTTTCATAATTCCTCAAAATTTCCCTACTATAATTCAGTCTTATCTTTACCCCTAAAAAGCCACCAGTTGGCATTTGGGCCTATAGTTTTATCTTCTCCACAATATAACAAGCAAAGAGGCTTGCAGTATATAACCTTTTGAGTTTGGCTTCATTTTATGTAGTATATTGCTTTTGAGATTCATCCACATTGTTGTCTGTATCACTAACGTGGTTTTTCTTTACTATTGTTATTGCTGAGTAGTGTTCATTTTATGTTGGTAACATGGTTTGTTTAACTATCAATTAAAGCAATTTTGGGGTGCTTTTGGCAGTGATGGATGAAGCCACTATAAATATTCATGTACAGGTGTTATATGAACATAAATTTTTATCTCACTTGATTAAATACCAAAGGAATGAGATTGCTTGGCGATACGGTAAGTGCGTATTTAACTTAATGAGTAACCTCCAAACTCTTATCTGAAGTGCTTGTGCCATTTTATATATCCACCAACAATGTATGAGAGTAGCAGTTTCTCTCCATTACTTTGTATTGTCAGTATTTTTTTCCTACCTATACTAATAGGTACGTGAGCAGTATTTGATTATGGTTTTAATTTCATTTATGTAATAGCTAATGATATTGAACACCTTTTCATGTACTTACTTCTTTGGGGGATATATCTGTTCTGATATAGGATTGTTTACTATTAAATTTTGAGGTTTTAAAAAATATACTGTGTATGTAAGTCCTTTGTTAGCTGTGTGAGTTGCAAATATTTTCTCCCAGTCTGACACTTCTTTCTAATTTCTTGTAACAGTGTCTTTTAGAGAGCAATTTTAGATTTTGATAAGGTCTGGTTTATACACTTTTTTCCTTTAATGGAATATACTTTTAATGCATCTGTGAAATTTTCACCTACCCCAAGGTCACAAAGATTTCCTCCTATGTTTCATATGGACATTTTACAGTTTTAGGTTTCACATTTATGATTCATTTGTGCATGTGTGTTTATCATATAAGGATGGATTTCTATGTATTGATATATTACTTTTCCGGCTCCATTTGTTGAAAAAACGTCTCCACAGAATTGATTTTACACCTTTTTCAGAAATCAATTAACAATATGTACCACTTCTTTTATAATGCAACACATGTGTTATAAAAATCACTGCACTATGCATAGCTGCACAATTAAAAGCACAGAAATTATGGAGAAAATAGGGTTGTGTTTCACACTGAAATATTTAACAGTGACATTAAAGAAAGATAAAAGGTTAATGAAAATGATAACATTATTTTCCATGATTAAGAAAATATAAAGACTGCAATAAATATGGTACCTTATCTTGAAAAATTGTGATTTGCTTGTAGGATAACATCTGTAAGTTTACAATTTATAATTAATTGTGAAGTAGTGGAAGATAGATGATTATCTGGAATTGAGAGAAAAGTTGTAACATTACAGGTGGACAGGAATATCTCTTAACAAACATGGTGAGCTGAAATAGCTGGAAGATGTTTGATGTTTGTGTATGTAGCATGTATATTTTTACTCAAGTCAGTTCAGGTAGGTGCAGTTTTCTGGTCTTTCATCTAGTATTTCTAGCTGATTGCGCAAAATTGCACATAAACAAATCCAAAATTGGAAACTCATGTTATGCTTAGATTGTTTCCAATCATACCGGAACAAATTTGCATTTTCAAATTGTTCTTTTTTTAATTTCAATAACATTAGTGTACCACACTGCATACGATTTGCTGGTATAGGTTTAGAAGAATTGGCTATATGTGTCAGTCTGTTCTTGGACACTGATGCTGTTCTATTGTTATAAATATTATGTTAAGCCTCATTTTTTTCCCAAAACTCTTTTGCTATTCTACTTCTTCTTTTTATATAAATTTTAAATTCACTTTGTTGATTTCTTCAAAAGAAATCTTGCTGGGATTTTCATTAAAGTATCGTTTTATCTGTATATTAGTTTTGGGAGAATTGACTTGTTTAGCAGCACTGAATCTTCTAAACCATGAACACAGTATATCTCTCCATTTACTTAGATTTACTTTGATGTCTTTCATTCGTGTTCTGTTTTCAGCATGCAGGTTTTGGTTATACATTGCATATTTATGCCTGTGTGAATATTGGCGATATTTTTGGTGGCATTATAAATAGTAATTTCTAAATATTAACTTCCAATTTTTCATTTCTATCACATAGACATAATATATTTATATATAATATATCTATCTATCTATGTGTATCTTAAGCTCTAAAAGGCCTTAAAAAAAACTGGAAGCTGATCAAAGCCAATCAAAATTTGCTTCATTGTAATTTTTATAAGCTTAACTTAATGTCTGTTTTGTGTAGTCTATTTCCAAATTTATATCGCAATGGCAAGTTTGATGTAATTGTTTTCCTCAAAATTGTTGAATGATATTCTAGTACGGATATTTTGAAGATAAGATTAAAATGAGCAATCTTTAAAAGTTCTTAAAGAGTATTCTTATGAAATACAGGTTGCTTTCCATTGTTGATCTCAACAGAAGCTTTCTTAAAAGTAATTGCAGGTCATCCTGGAATATATAGCATGTAATTTTGTTTCTTTTGGTATTTTCTATTTTTGTGAAATCTTCAGATATATTTTTGTGTAACATTGTTATTATAGATTTTGGACTCAGCAAGGAGTCAGTAGATCAAGAAAAGAAGGCCTACTCATTTTGTGGTACAGTGGAGTATATGGCTCCTGAAGTTGTAAATAGGAGAGGTCATTCCCAGAGTGCTGATTGGTGGTCATATGGTGTACTTATGGTAAGTAGCATTATTTTTTAAAATTATGCCAGTATAAAATTAATATCATTTTGAATTTTAATTTAAATTTTGGGATGTGACGTGAGAATAGGTTTCTGATAATTCATGATTATCATTATAAATCATGTGGTTGATTATCTTATAAAGTAAAGATTAAGGTTTAGGTTTCTGAATTTTTTTAATGTTGCTAGATAAAAAGGTAAACAGCAACATTCTTTTATAAAGCATTAAGATTTAAATCTTAGAAAAAGATATACCAAATTTTGTATTTCAGAATACTTTGTTTAGCAGATATATAGTATTTTAATTAGGTATCATAGAATTTAGCACCTTACCATATACTACTGCCTTATTTTCAATTGTTTCAATCATAGAAAGATTATAAACCTCTTAAGAAAAACAGTCATGTCTTATACTCATTTTCGTCTCTGATGGTACCAAAAACTGGGCATGACTTAATTTGATATAAGATTAAACATAGAATTTGCAGTATTAAGAAGGATGGTTAACAAATAGATGTTTAATCAGATATAATTTGCTTTTGAGTACTGATAATCCTGTCTACCTTTATATCACTGAGGACACACTATATGACACAGCAATATATGAAGTGCGTGTCATAAGCATGGTATTTGGGTAGGCACCTGGGGTAAGAACAGGCTAGAAGTACACTATTTTGCATTTTCTATGACCTAAGAAGGCATATAATTTGGTTGCACTAACAACTGCAATAGCTAAATAAACTTTCCAGAAGTACCTTAGGACTTTAACCAAAAATTCATTTAAGTTGAGGTATGGAAAGTGGAGAAGGGAGAACTTAAATTAAACCCTGAATGATGGATAAAATTTAAATAGCTGCATGTCAAGAATAGCATTGTGATTGTGTTAGCAAAGGTCTGGAGAACCAATTTGAGTACAGTAGTGGATAATGATGGTTAAAGATGGAGGAAATAAGGCTAAAAGTATATAAGCACATTTGCATGTAATTTTCTGAGTATTGGGAAAATTTTGTATATTGATAGGATGGTAATTAGGGAAACAAGTATTTTAGGAAGATTAGTCTTGACATCATTATATAAATGGATTTTAATCAGAGGAAACAAGTAAGGAGACCAGCAGTGTCTCCTTACAAGACACTTAGAAAACTATAGACTAAAAAAGAGGAGATCTTAAAGACATTTCAAAGAAAGAACTGACTGCCATTACTAGCAGATTGTCACAGATGAAGCAGAGTGGAAGATAAAGATACTGCTAAAATTTAAGAACTTTAGGGTAATGAAATTGTGGTTGGTCAACAGAAAAAAGAGAGCTGGGAAAGACTGATTTTGGAAGTATTGATATATAATATATAATATAAAACATTTGGAAAGAATTAGTCAATCAGTTAATTATATATTTTTAATTGAAGTGACCTTGACTAATAACATTATGTAAGTTTCAGGAATGCATCATCGTAAATCAACATCTGTACATATTGTTTAGCAATATAAGTCCATTTCTATCCTTCATGCAGTTGACTCCTTTGACATAATTTTCCCAAAGCCTGTCCCTCTTTACCTTTTGGTAACCAATAATTTGATTTTGGTTTTACAGTTTAAAAAGGTTTTCTTGGGCCTCCCCGGTGGCGCAGTGGTTGAGCGTTGGGTTGCGAAGCTGCCCGCAGCCTCTGCGGCGCCAGTTCGATCCTCGGCTGCTCCCCGGCCACCGGAGGAGGGTCCCACATGGCGTGCAGACCTCTCCTGCCGCCCGCTGCTCCCCTCAGCAGTGTACTTCGGTCCTTCTGCCTGCTCTGCTCCCCGCTCTGGCTCTGGTGAATTCTCTCACCCTCCCGCGCTTCTGACTGTACCCAGTGCTTGTATAAACAAAACAAACAAACAAATAAATAAATAAAACATGCCTCTATTAAAAAAAAAAAAAATTTAAAAAAAAAAATAAAAAAAATAAAAAGGTTTTCTTTTTTTTTTAATTTAGATCATTCATTTGTTCAGTTTCATGTGGTGTTTGTCTTTCTCTGTTCAACTTATTTCACTGAGTATAATACCCTCTAGGTTCATGCATGTTGTTGTACATGGCAGCATTTTATCTTTTTTTATACAGTGGATAAGTAGTTCATGTGTATATATAACACATCTGTTCATTATCCATTCATCTGTTCATGAAACATTTGGTTGTTTCTGCTCTTGGCTATTGTATATAATACTGCAGTGAACATGGGGGGTGCATATGTCTCTTTGAATCAGTGTTTTTGCATTTTTGGTCAATACCCCAAAGTGGAATTATATGAAATTTCTCTTTATAATTTTTTAAAGATTTTTCTATTTATGCATACAACAGCTGGGGTACAGGCCAGTGATGGGGGTGGGTGGGTGAGAGGATTCAGCAGTGACAGAGTGAGGAGCAGAACAGGCAGATCTACTGAAATACACTGCTGAGGGGAGTAGCAGGCTAGGCAGGAGAGGTCTGCTGTGCCATGTGGGCTGCTCCCAGATCAGGGATTGAACTCATGCTGCAGTGGCTGGCTGGCAATAGCTTGATAGTGCTGTATTTAACCCTTGTGCCACCAGGGATGCCACAGATTAATGTTTTATGTCCAGTCAAAAAATCGGTAGAAGAGCTAAAAAGACACTTCTCCAAAGAGGAAATGCAAATGGCCAACAGGCATATGAAAAAATGTTCAACATCACTTGTAATCAGGGAAATGCAAATCAAAACCACAATGAGATACCAAGTTACACCAGTGAGAATGGCACATATTGAAAAAACTAGCAACAACAAATGTTGGCAAGGATGTGGAGAAAAAGGAACTCTCCTACATTGCTGGTGAGAGTGCAAACTGGTGCACCCACTATGGAAAGCTCATAATTTTTTAAAAAAAATTCTCTGCTACTGAGAAAACCGGAATGCAAAAAATGAAAAAAAAATCGATTCTGAGTCAATAATGAATATGAAAGAAAACCAGTTATAGCTCACTTCATCCTTTCTGAGCCACTTCTTCCCATTTTTTATAGGGTTGCTTGTTTTTTGTTGTTGAGTTTCATGTGTTCTTTTCATACGTTGTTTCTAATAGAATAATAGTGTTTTTGGTTCACAAAACAGTGTATGATTTAGAATTATAGAATTACATTCCTATGGAGTATGTCAGCACTCTACATTGACCACCAAAGCACCCATATTCCTCAACGATACTCCACTGGGCACCTTTTATATTTTGCCCTACTCCTACACCCTGCTCCTCTGCTAGCCTCAATTCTATGGTCAAATTTTAGGGCTTGTTACTGGTTTGGTTTTGTCTTCTCCTTTGTCTCATGTCTCTGTATTGCACAGATAAGTGACATCATCAGGTATTCCTTTTTCCTATTTGACTCAGTGTTATCCCCTCCACTTCCATCCATGTTGTCACATATGCAAGATTTATCTTTTTTTATAGCTGAGTAGTATAGCATACACGCACACACACACACACACCCCCCACATCTTAATCCAATCATTGTGCTTGAGCACCTAGATTGCTTCCATACCTTGGCTTTTGTAATTAGTGATGCAATGAACATTGGAACATACATTTCTTTGAATTAGTATTTTTGCATTCTTAAGGTAGATAGCTAAGAGTGGAATTGCTGGGTGTAGTGCCAGGAAGGCACAGAGCTGGTTCTCTATGATCTGAGCATATCAGGCGGGTAAAGGAGAGTCCTGGAGCCCTCGATGACTTTCTCAGGCTTTTATTGAGCTTTTGCAGCAACCCCAGCAGGCAGGGGTGCTGGGGGGGCCAGGAGGCTGGCAGGCCTCTCAGCCCCCGGCAAATCTTCACTCCTTCTGGGCTCTCCCCCTCTCTGCTTCTCTTGGCAAATATAAAATAATGCATCCATGGCCCATAGAAGTAAACAACACAACTGAAAATAGCAATGTAACAAAAGTGCAGGTGCCCACCATCAGGCATGCAATCCTAATGGCAGGAGGGCAGAAAAGCCTGAAAATCATTTACCCTATACTGGGTCATATGGTAGATCCAAGCTGTAATATTTTAAGAAACCTCCATACTGTTTTCCGTAGGAGCTGAACCAGTCTACATTCCTACCATTTGTGTAAGGTTAACTATTAATGTCTAATAATGCTAGTTCTTCCAAGTCATGAACCAGATCTTAGAGGAAAAGCTTTCAGTTTTTCGCCATTGAAAATAGTGTTAGCTGTAAGTTTTTCATATACAACCTGTATTATGTTGAGGTATGTTCTGTCTGTCTCCATTATTTTGATGATGATTGTCATTAATGGATGTTGAATCTTATCAGATTTTTTTCTCTACATCTAATATAATGATCATATTTTATCTTTCCTCTTGTTGGCATGCAAATTACATTGATGGGTTTTCAGATATTGAGTCACACTCATACTTAATTCCTTATGATAAATACCACTGGTTATAATGTATGATCATTTTAATGCATTGTTGAATTTGGTTTGCTTACATTTTTAATGGATTTTTGCATCTATGTTCATCAGGGAAATTTATCTATAAATTTCTATTTTTTGTGAGTTGTAGGGTAAGTAAAGTATCAGGCTTTTCTGCTCTCCCACCATTAGGATTGATGATGGAACCCTGTGGTCCTTAATGCATGCCAAATGATGGGCACCTGGAGTAGGGTGTGGGCATGTGTAGGTGGGTACACCTGGGCTGAGAGACTGGGTTTATAAGGGCGGCATCACGGGGACACCAGGAGAGCAAAGGAAGAGAACGAGAATGAGAGAGAGCAGAATGAAAGAGCAAGAGAAGAAGCAGAACCAGCGGAGGCCACCAGAGACCACCGGGGATCCCAGAAAGAGTTAAGACTTGCTGGGCCTCCCAGCCCCCCAGCAACCCTGCCTGCCATGTACTTGGTAAATCCCAAGAAAAGCCTGAAAAAGCCACCGAGGGCTCCTAGTCTCCCTCTTTTACCCCATCTGCTCAGATCATAGAAATCCTGCACTGTGCCTTCCTGCTCCTACAGATGTCTTTGGTTTTGGTATCACAGTAATGGTGGTGGTCTCTCATAAAATGTCTTTGGAAACTTTTTCTCTTTCTCAGTTTTTTTTTTTATATCAGCATGAGAAAGATATTAGTTAGCCCCCTGGTTGTAATAAATTAGAAGAGGTGTGTAGAGATTGTATCAGAATCATCTGGATACCTTAAAATATACTATTCAACTACCCAATATGTAGTTTGTTTGAATGGGAGGTGTGATTTCAATATACTATATTTCTCTCTTTTTCTTTCTGTACCTGCCACTCCCATTTCTAGTACTCTTTTCCCTAGTGGATTACTATTAACTTTAGGTATGGGATAGGGGACTAGAACTGGAGAAAGATGATTACCATATACCATACTTATTTTTTTTTTCCATTTCTGTGACTGGGTTCCTACCTCTACATCTTTAGTCTCTTGTTAAGAACCATTACTGTAGATTTAGAATGGAATGCTGTGACCTGACAGATTGAGGTTGGAATATCAGATCTGAGAGTATGGGTATAGGAGATTGTTGATTGGGTGAGCTAAGGTGAACTCATAAATAAGCCGAGGAGAGGACTAGTGTCAGTTATTATTGAATCTAAGTTTGAGATTAAAATATGGATTTCAAAACTTTTCTCTTTAATGAGCTGTAATGAGCTTCATTTTTAGACCTAGTTTTTTTTTTTTTTTTTAAGATTTATTTGTTTATTTATACAAGAAGTCGGGTATAGGCCAGATGCGCGGGAGGGTGAGAGGATTCACCAGAGACAGAACAGGCAACAGAACAGGCAGACTGATGGAATACACTGCTAAGGGGAGTGGCAGGCGAGACAGGAGAGGTCTGCTTCACTATGTGGGACCCTCGCTGGCTGGCTAGGATTGAACCGGTGCTGCAGAGTCTGCAGACAGCTTCACAGCGTGGTGCTCAACCGCTGGGCACCAGGGGAGGCCAGACCCAGTGTTTTTTGATAGCATTAACATTCTAGTTATCTACTTTGCAATTAAATCTCTTAGGGATAATGTTTTCCTTGTGTTGTATGTAACTCCTTTTTTTTGTTTTTTGAAGATATTTGTGTTTTTGCTTGCATGAAAATGTCTTTGTAGCTTCTCCTTTTTTGGTTCTTGTTTTTAAGTAGGTGAGGGGAATGAGAAAGGTTAGATTTTTCCTGAGCATGTATAAATTTGAAATGATTTGTGCTTATATTTACTCTCTTATCATTGTTAATGTTTGCTTTAAGAGCATATCTTTGTTTTAAATGAAAATGTGTCTGTTTCTAAATAGCTGTGACTTAGGGAACTTAGCCTAATTAGGAATGAAAAAATAGTTTATGTCATTTGTTAAAGTTTGCCTATTAGTTGCAGTTTGGTACCAGGAATATGTTTCTTTAAATGACCTAGTTTTCTGGTCCTATTTTCACCTATCATCATGTAGATTCTGCATGATTTCATGATCATGAATTACATTCCTAAGTAATTTCATTGTATATTCTAAGTTTTGCTAAATTGACTGTTATTTTTTTTGTTCATTTAAAGTTTGAAATGCTTACTGGTACTCTGCCATTTCAAGGTAAAGACAGAAATGAGACCATGAATATGATATTAAAGTAAGTCTAACACTATTTTTTGCTTTGGGAAAAATTCCTTGTTTTCAGTCTTGAGAAACTTGTGATTTTAAATTGATATTCACAAAAGGCTGTTTTATGAAGTGTTATAGTCCCTTCTCTTACTATATATGGGACATTGTTTGCCTTTGTGAAAGCATTTTCTAAAATTATTTTTTGAAAATTGTCAATTTAGTATTCTGGCTATATTTAAATTAAATTTTCTAAAATCTTCTTTTCCAGAGCAAAACTTGGAATGCCTCAGTTTCTTAGTACTGAAGCACAAAGTCTGCTAAGAATGTTATTCAAAAGGAATCCAGCAAATAGATTGGGTATTGTTTATTGTCTTCACTTTCATAATACTAAACTGCATGCTTTTGGGAGAGTGATTATAACTTCATATTATCTGACTTAAGTACATTATTGACTGCTATATAATTATACATAGAAAAATTTCAATTGTATTTTTCATTGAGGTAGCAAACATTGGTATGCAACACAGTATGTAATTCAAAGTTACAGGTTCATACCTCTTCAAATATGTGTGACCTCATCACATACTCCACCAAAGCCCCCATAGACATCTGCCATAGTCATTGGGCCACCTGCATATTTGACTCCTCATACTTCCTTCCCCCTGTAGTAGCCTTAATCCTACAGTCAGATTTCTAGTGTTCGTTTTGTTTGTTCCTTTGTTTTCTACATTTCACATAGTGAAATCATATGGTGTTTGTCTTTCTCTTTCTGACTTACTTTTTGCTTAGCATTACCCCCTTCATTTCCTTCCATGTTATCCCAAGTCACAAGATTTCATCCCTTTTTATATAGCTGAGTAGTATTCTATTGTTTACGTGTACAACATCTTTATTATCTACTTATCTTCATGGTGGAGGGGTGCTTAGGTTGTTTCCATTATTGGCTATTATAAATGGTGCTGCCATGAACATAGACATGCATATATCCCTTTGAGTTAGTAATTGTTTTACATTATTTGCATAAATATTAGAAGTATAATTCCTAGATCATATGGGAGATCTATTTTTAATATTTTGAGAAATCTCCATACTGTTTTCAGTGGGTATTGAACCAATCTACATTCCTACCAAAAGCGCATGAGAGTACCTAGCTAATACTTGTTTCATACCCTAACCAACATTTGTTCTTTCTGTTCTTTTTGCTTTGAAATGTGAGGTAATATCTCATTGTAGTTTTGATTTGCATTTCCCTGGTAATACATAATGAAGAGTACTTTTTATGTCTGTTGGCTGTCTGAATTCTTCATAGAAGTGTCTATTTTGCCTTTCTGCCCATTTTTGTTTGGGCTATTTGTTTTCTTTTGTCTTGGGTTTTATGAGTTCTTAGTAGTTCTGGGTATCACTACCTTTTCAAATATGTGATGTACAAATATTTTCTCCCATTCTGTACTTTGTCTTTTCTTTTCAATGATAGGTTTATTTTGCTGTGCAGAATACTTTTAATTTGATGTACTCACATTTATTGTTTTGTTCTTTCCCTTGCTGTTGGAGTGGAGTCTCCAAAGGCATTTCTGAAGCCAGTATGATCAAGTGCTTTGTCTGTTTCTTTTTATATATTTTATGGTTTCAGTTCTTAAATCCAACTCTTTAATCCCTGTTGAATTAATTTTTGTGTGTAATGTGATCAAATGGTCTAGTTTCATTATTTTGCATAAGGTTGTTTACTTTTCCCAGCCCCATTTGTTGACAAGTCTTTTCTTTCACCGTTGTATACTCATGTTTTCTTTGGTGTAGAATAACTGTCCATATAAGTGTGGGTTAATTCTAAGTTCTCAATTCTATTCAATTGTTCTGGTGTCTTCTTTAATTTCAGTAGTGTGCTGTTTTGATTACTATAGCCTTGTTGTAAATTTAAAGTCTGGGTGTATGATACCTCCATCCTTATTTTCATTTTACTTTGGATATGTCGAGTCTTTGGGGGTTCCATTAAGATTTCATTAATTTTGTTCTGTTTGAGGAATATCATTGAAACTTTGGCAGGAATTTAATTGAATCTGTTTATTGCTTTGGATAAGAGGAATATATTAGAAATTGAATCTTTTCCAATACATTAATCAGAATATCTTCTAATTTTTTGTATCTTTTACTTCTTTTAATAATGTCTAACCATCTTAAGTTTATTTGTAGTTATTTCTTTTTGATTCAGTAATAAGTATATGGAATTATTTTCTTGATTTCTTTCTTTTCCAGTTCATTTTCATACAGGAGTGCAACCAATTCTTGTATTTTGTAGCCTGACAATTTACTATACTGAAAGTTTCTAATATTTTTTTTCTTCAGTGCCATGTTTGGGGTTTTCTGTGCATATTATCATGTCATCTACAAGTAATGAAGTTTTGTTTCCTGTTTCCCAATTGGAATTTCTTTTATATCTTTGTATCGACTAATTGGTCTAGCTAGGATTTCCAATACTATCTTAAAAGTAATGGTTAAAGTGGACCTCCTGGGCCTCCCTGGTGGTGCAGTGGGTTGAGCACCGTGCTGTGAAGCTATCCGCAGCCTCTGTAGCAAGGGTTTGATTCCCGGCCAGCCAGGGAGAAACCCATATGGCACATGGCGCAGCAGACCTCTCCTGCTCTGCCTGTTGCTGCCCTCAGCAGAGTCTTTTGGTCCCTCTGCCTGTTCTGCTCCCTGCTCTATCTCTGGTGAATTCTCTCACCCCCCTGCGCCTCTGACCTGTGCCTCAGTTCTTGTATAAATAAATATATCTTTAAAAAAAAAAAAGGTCAACAAAACTTAAAAAAAAAATAAAGTGGACATCCTGACCTTAGAGGAAAAGCTTTCAGTTTTACACCATTGAGTATGATGTTAACTGTGTGTTTTTTATTATATGGCTTTTATTATATTAAGACACATTCCATCTATCCCCATTTTTTAAGTTTTCATCATAAATGATGAATCTTATGAAATGCTTTCACTGCATCCATTCATATTATCATGTGATTTTTATCTTTTCTTTTGTTGATGTGGTGAATTTCATTGCTTCATTTTGCTTATGTTGAGCCATTGTTGCATCCCTGGAATAAATTTCACTTGGTCATGATGTATGTTCATTTTAATGTATTGAATTTGTTGGCTAAGATTTTGTTGAGGATTTTTGGATCTGTTTTCATCAGAGATATTGGTTCGTAGTTTTCTTTTTCTGTGATATTCTTTTTTAAAAAAAAATAAGATTTATTTATTTATACAAACACTGGGTACAGTCAGAAGCGCAGGAGGATGAGAGAATTCACCAGAGCAGGGAACAGAACAGGCAGACCAATGAAACACACTCCTGAGGGGAGCAGCGGTTGCGGCAGGAGAGGTCTGCGCGCCATGTGGGACCGTCACCAGTGGCCAGGGATTGAACCGGCACTGCAGAAGCTGCGGGCAGCTTCGCAGCCCAGTGATCAACCACTGCACCACCGGGGAGGCCCTTCTGTGATATTCTTTTCTGCTTTTGGTATCAGAGTAATGTTAGTCTCGTAAAATATGTTTGCTGACATTCCTCTTCCTCAGTTATTTGTATACTTTTCTTTTGAGGTATCATTGTTTTACAATACCGTATATGATTCAGAAAGATAGAATTACACCTTTTAAGATATACTTTACATACCACACACACCACAAAGGCACCTGTATTCCTCTGTGATAGTCCATTTTGACCTCTCAGACCTTTGCTTTCCACCCTCCCCCTCTCCAACTTGTAAGGTCAGTTTTGCAGTGAGATTCTATGTTTTACTTTTGGTTTGGGTTGTTTTACTCCTTAGTTTGTTTCTTTGTGTTCTTTTTTTGTGTCTTTGTGTTTCCTTCTGAATTATTTCACTTAGCGTAATAATCCCTGCTGGTTCAATGCATGTTGTCACAAATAACAACAATGCATCTTTTTTTTATATAGTAGTATGTATAGATTCCATTATATCTTTATTTGTCTTTGGGCAGTTAAATTGCTTCCGTAGCTTGGCTGCTATACATACTACTGTAATGAACATAGGCATAAATATATCCTATTGAGTTAGTGATTTTACATTCTTCAGGTAAATACCTAGGAATGGAATTGCTGGATCATACAGTAGAGCTCTATGGAGGTTTCTCAAAATATGATATGATTCCCATCCCCAGACCTTTAGAAGAGTTTGAGAAAGATAGTTATCAGTTCATGTTTGAAAGTTTGGTTCAACTTACTACTGAAACCGTCTCATACTGGGCTTTTGTTGTTTTGGACACTCTTGATTACCTTTTCAATTTTATTGGTTGTAATTGGTATGTTCAGGTTTACTATTTCTTCCTGATTCAGTTTCGGAAGGCTCTAAGCACCTAAGAATTTCTCAATTTCTTATAGTTTATCCAATTTATTGCATATAGATATTCATAATAGTCTCATCATATTCTATTTCTGAGGTGTCTTTTGTAACTTCTACTTAATTTTTTATTCTATTTATTAGAGTTCACACCCTTTTTTTTTTCTTTTGAGCCTACCTAGACATTTGTCCATTGTTTCTTATTTTCTCAATAAAATAGCTTTTGGGTTCATGGATCTTTTGCACTTTTATTTCCTTTTCATTTATTTCTGCTCTAATTTTATTATTTCTTTGCTTACACTGACTGTTTTTGTTTGTTTATTTTCTAATTCTTTAAGTTTCTGTATGTAAGTATTTCAGTAAACTTTCTTAGGTTCATGATTTAAAAATGGAGTGGTCTAGTTATTCAAAATCTCTGTTTATTATATCATTGTGTATATCATATGGATTATCTCTTTTGAAATAATTCACAGAATACCTTCTAATATAGTAAAGCAAACCTTTTAGTTATTTGAAAATAGATATTTTCTACTTTCCAGTTTTCTTCCAGTTAAATAATGTGTCCATAACTATTCGGGTTCATAACCTGGATCTAGGTATCATTCTCTTGTCCTGTTGATTTACTTGTGTTGAAATTTCACTCTGTTTTTTTGTGCTTTTTGGTTTTACATGTAAGTACACCTTCATAATTTTAATTATAAAGAAAAAAATGTACTTAAGTTTTAATATTAAACATGATTTTGATTTGATTCAGAAGGTACTTCATTATTTCTTGATACCCAATGTGAGTCAATATGAACATCAGTTTTTTCTATCATATTAAAATGACAATACTGATTAATAAAATACTAGATAAGAATTCATAAACTTTCACTTCAAGGAATCTATGTAATATGTGTACTCTTGTTTATAGATAACAACTTTAAATGCAGGTGGAATGATCAAAATAATTATACCAATAAAAAAATCTTTCCATTTTCATAGGTTCAGAAGGAGTTGAGGATATCAAAAGACATCTTTTTTTTGCAAATATTGACTGGAATGTAAGTTCAATAGAAATGTTCCTATCCTTGATAGGAACAAAAGCACTGATGAATAAATAATCATATATGGAGTTTTGGAGTTTGCTGATAAATGTAACCTATGTAGTTTATATTTAGTATGAAATTTTAGGTATAGCATGCTATGGAAGTTACCTTGAACCAGTAGATGGGTGGATAATAGTAATTAAAGTTTAATGATAATTTGTTCAATTTTTTGTGTTAAATATGGTTAATATTCTCCCCTATTCTAGGTTGGGGAATGTGGAAGAGAAAGTCAAAAGAGGATGAATTATGAGGCAGATTTTTATAGAAAAATTTTTCTAAAGAATCTAAGATATTTAATTTCAACTGTTTCTTCATCATGTGTTAGAACAAATTAAATTTGCTGAAAAGTGAATATCTTTGTACAGGTATTTCTCTAAGTTTGGAGATGACATAAAAAAAGAAACTGAAATTCTGCTAAGTCATGTATACAGTTTTTTTTTTAATATTGCAACTTCCAGACTAATACAATTTCCATAGAAAGGTCGATTTTTTGTCATTTATTTTACAACATCGTTTTATATATTTTATGTACTTATTTTATTAATCATCGTAGGTAAGCATTTTTGGTTATCTTTGGTATTAGTTTTGAAAATTTTTCAAAAGGAAAAATATCACTTTGATTTCTAGGGTAGATAGATATACAAAGCTAGTATTCTTAGACCAAATCATTATTTCCTCTGCTTTGTAGAACAAGTTTCAAAAAGCATATATTTTTATAATTTTTTTTACCATAGTAAAATTGCAACATAGCATAAGCTATTCATGTTAATACCTAAAAAGGCTACTCAGTGGACATGTTGCATGGGAGTCTGCCCTTTGTCATATCTGTGTGCATTCCTTTCTTGGTGTCATTGTGTCACTTTTTTTCCCTAATACTTAGCTAGGTGAAATGGAAGTTATCCCCCCTCCCACTGTTCTTATATCTAAATAGTTTCTGTTCACTGTTCTTAATTAAAATAACAATGGAGTGGCATATTTACATATTAAAATAAATGAAAATCCCTTTAAAGTAATTCTCTATTAATTTTCCCCCACCATGGGATTGTGAGCTTTTCAGTAGTTTTCCCCAGAAAAAGTAAATTTTCTATATTGTAAGATTTTTTTTTTTTGTATTACTTTGATGTCAAGAACATAACTTAGGAAATTTTTGTTAGACAAGATTAAATATTTTAATACTATAAAAAGAGCCCTAAACATGCATTCAATGCCTGCTTTTATGTGAAAACAAATTATTTAAGATGAAATAATGTGCTTCTAAAGATAATTTGTTTATTTTGAAATTCTTGATTGGTATTATTTCAGCATGGTAACAGTGTGATATATTCTGTGTGTTTATTTTACCAGTGAGAATTCAAGTCACATTTTGATAACCAAAATTGAAAATTATTACTCCTTGTGAATGGAACATGTAGCATCACTGCTGTGTTTCCTGGTCTCAGTTGATTCTTTACATTACCCCTCAAGTTTTTAAAATTTATTTAAAATATATCTGAAACTTGTTGAAGTGTAACTTATGAAATTATGAGTATTCCAATAAGGCCTGTGAATATTATGTTCTGCTTTCTCTTGGAAAGTATAACAATTTTTAAAGTGTTAGTATGTTTTTGTATTATCTCGTTGTTTCTTCTAGAAATTATATAAAAGAGAAGTTCAACCTCCTTTCAAACCTGCTTCTGGAAAACCTGATGATACTTTTTGTTTTGATCCTGAATTCACTGCAAAAACACCTAAAGGTAACACATGTTTATATATAACATCAGGGCTTTTATCCAGTTACATGGTTAAAAAAATAAACTACCTTCTTAAGTAAAAACTAAAACTAAACTTATGTTTGTGGAGGATTGGTTTGCTCTTAATGGAAATGGGGATTCTATATACATTACTTAGGCACCTATGAAGTAGAGGCTTTAAATGGAAATAATTTTCAAAGGAGTAGGACATAGGGTAAGGGTAGAAATTGCTTATGTTTCTTGTTTTAAAAATATTTTGACATGCAGGTAGTTTAGATTGGGGGAGTAGGAGATACAGCATGAGATATTTTACTCTCTTAATAATTTACTTTTAGCACCATCTGTTTCATACATTCATTGAGCAAATATTGAATATCTATTATGTACTTATCAGTGCAGAAGCAGCAATGAACAGAACAAAAATTGTAATCCACGTCCAGTTTGTTTAATGTAAGGAGACTTAATATACTGTAAATCAAATACATAATAAAGTATTTCTTATAGTGGCATTTTATGGTTTCCTTTGTGTTCAAAGAAATGCTGACATTTTGCATCATATAAGTCTATGTAGTTCTAATTAAGTATAATTATTTGGACATTAGATTCTCCTGGTTTGCCAGCCAGTGCTAATGCTCATCAGCTCTTCAAAGGATTCAGCTTTGTTGCAACTTCTATTGCAGAAGAATATAAAATCACTCCAATCACAAGTGCAAATGTATTACCAGTCATTCAGGTACATTCCACTTAGATTATTCAATTTATTTTGTGTTATTTAAAAGTTTTTATTAAGCACATATTTTAAATGCTCAATGGGGAATTTGCTCATTTTATTTTAATATTATTTAATATTTCCCCTCCACCTTCCTTTATTTCCTTTTATCCCTTTCCTTCCTCCCTCCCTCTGAACCTCAGAGCCTTCAAGACGATTTTGATGTCCACTGATTTTTGAAGATTTTTTATTACATTATTTTTTATTACATTATTGATTGTTATGCTATGTAAATGTCTAGTATTTGTTTTTGTCCTTTTGACATGCTCTGCTACACATAATTCTCTCAAATTCCCTCCTTTTGTCAAAGACTTTAAAATGCCTTTGTTAATATAAATTATATAATTTTGTTGCAAATAGCTGCATTGCATTCTTATGCCTATATAATAATCCATGTTGTGTATATACTGTGTCGTCTTGTCTTGATCAACTCATACGTTAATGGACATTTAGGCTGCTTCCATGTTGAAGCTATTGTAATTAATATTGCTATAAACATTGTGGAACATCCAGTTTTTATATTTAATTTTTAATTAATTATTTTAATTGAGGTTGCATTAGAGTATCCCCATCAGGTATTACCATCATAGTGCACCCACCATCAACTCACCCATACTCCACCACCACAGACCATTATGCTTACCTCTGTCTCTGTTCTTTTTCCACCCCCACACCTCCCCCCTTGTTGTCTCAGTTCTGTAGTCAACTATCAAGGGTTAATTTTTAGCTTGTCTTTATCTGACTATTAATTTAGTTACTTTACATTCCATATATTGGTGACACCCTCCAGTATTTATATTTATACTTCTGATTTAATTCACTTAGCATTATCTTTTCCAGCTCCATCCATGTTGCTACAAATGACATTAATTCATCTTTTTTGATCACTGAGTAATACTCCACTGTGTATATTTACCATATCTTCTTGATCCACTCATCTGTTTTGGGGCACTTAGGTTGTTTCCATAGTTCAGTGATAAACAGTGCTGCAATAAACATGGGAGTGCTAGTTTCCTTTCAAATTAGTAGTTTTGAATTTTTTGGATAGATGCTTAGGAGTGGAATTACTGGGTTGAATGGCAGACCCATGTTTAATGTTTTGAGAAAACTTTATGCTGCTTTTCATAAGGGCTGAACCATTTTGCATTCCCATCAACAGTGTAGGAAGGTTTCCTGTTCTCCATATCCTCACCAGCATTTGTTTCTGGTCTTTTTAATATGGACCATTCTCACAGGTATGAGACTGGTATATCATTGTGGCCTTGATTTTCATTTTTCTATTACTAAGTGATTGTGAACATTTTTTCATGTGTCTGTTGTTCATTCTAATGTATTCTTTGGAGAGATGTTCATTTAGTTCTTTTGCCCATTTTTGATTGTATTATTTCTTTTGTTTTTGTAGGATTTTATGAATTCTTTGTATATCTTTGATATCAGTGCTTTCTCAGATGTATGGTATACATATACTTGCTCTCATTTAATAGGGTGTCTTTTCAATTTAGTTATGGTTTCTTTCATTGTGCAGAAGCTTTTTAGTTTGATATCGTCCCAGCTATTTATGTTCTTTTTGTTTTGTTTTGTTTTCTTTGCTGCTGTTAGGCATATGGGTTTTTGTGTTGACTGTTCATTTGCTTTGTATATACACCCAAGAGTGGTATTGCAGTCATCTGGTAATTACATTGTTTTTAAGGTATTTAGATTGATTCCATAATGATTTTACCATTTTATCCCACCAACAGTGTAACAATTTTCCATTATCTCTACATCCTCTCCAACACTTACTGTTGGAGGTCATCTTAATATATTCAATTCTCAAGGGTTTGATATAGTATCTCATTGTAGTTTTAGCCTGAGTTTCTCTTATCAGTGACAATGAATACTTTTTCATGTCTTCTGGCCTTCTAGATATCCTCATTGGTGAATTGTATGTTTATATTGGTTGTCCATTTATAAATTAGGTTGTTTATTATTGAATTATATGGGCTTGTTTATATATGTTGTATATTAATACCTAATCAGTTATATATTGTGTGAATATTTACTCCCCTTCAATAGGTGTCCTTTTAATTGGCTTGCGTTTTCATTTACTATATAGAAACTTTTTAACTTGAGGTAATCTCAATTATTTATTTTTGTTCTTAATTCCATTGCTATAGGGATTGGGTCGCCAAAAGTATTTTATCGTTGATGACATGGGACGTATCGCTAATGTTTTCTTCTGTGTATTTTATTGTTGCACATGTTATATCTAAATCTTTGATCCATTTGAATTTTATTTTGTTTATGAGGTTAGCAGGGGGTCCACCTTCATTCTTCTAGGTTTGGCTTTCCAGTTTTCTCAGTGCCATGTATTAAAGATACTGTCATTTCCCCATTTTGTGTTCATAGCTGCTTTATCATAGATAAAGTGCTGGTATGTACATGGATTTATTTCTGGCCTTTCAATTCTATTCCATCAATTCATGTATATACCCAGTACCATACTGTTTTTAGTATACTTGCTTTATAAAAGTTTAAGTTAGATAATATAATACTTCCAATTCTCCCCTTATTCCCCCTGAGGATTTCTCTTGCAATGTGAGTTTTTTTGTGGTTCCATATAAATTTCAATATTCTTTGTTCAACTTTTTAGAAAAATATTGCTGGTATTTTGATGGGGATTACAATAAATTATGTATCCTTTCAGTCAGGATAGTCATTTTGAATATATTGAACCATGAGCATGAGATATCCTACCATCTCCTTATTTGACTAAGTACTTTAGTAGTATCATGTAGGCCATGTTTTAAAGGTCTTTTTCTTTTTTTAAGATTTATTTTTATTTATGTATAGAAAAACTGGGGTGTAGGCCAGAGGTACGAGGGTGATAGGATTTGCCAGAGACAATGGGGAGCAGAACAGGTGGCTATACTGAAATACAGTGCTGAGGGGAACAGTGGCCGAGATAGAGAGGTCTGCTTCACCATGTGGGTTAGCTCCCTGGCCAGGGATCAAACTCATGCTGCGGTCACTTGATAGTGCTGACACTATTTGCACCACCAGGAAGGCCCCTGGACTTTTGCCTTCTTAATTAGGTTGACTGCAAAATGTTTAATTATTTTCTAGGCAATTGTAGATGAAGTTATTTTCTTCATTTCTTTTGCTTCTTGTTCTTTGTGTGTAAGCTATGGGTTTTTATATGTTGATTTGTTTAACCTCCACTTAACTCTATTCATTTATTGTTTGTAGTAACTTTTTGATGGAGTGTTTTGCATTTTTTATATAATATGTCATCTGCAAATCTTAATAGTTTCACTTGCTCTTTTTTGACTTTATTGCCTGTGTTTTTCTGATAGCACTGGCCAAAATCTCTAGTACTAAATAAAACAGAAGTGGTGACAGTTGACATCATCGTTTTACTCCTGATCTTAGGGGGAAAACTTTCAGTTTTGCACCATTAAGTATATATTGGCTGTTGATTTGTGACATATGGCCTTTATTATATTGAGGTAGTTTTCTTCTTTTCACATCTTGTTTAGAGTTTTTTTCGTTAATGGGTGCTGAATCTTATAAAATACATTTTCTGCATCAATTTCTAGCATATTATTATCTTCTCTTATTTTATATGATATAATACATAGATTGATTTATCCATATAAAGGCATCTTTGAATCCCTTGTTAATCCCACTGGTCATGTTGAATAATCTTTATGATATACTATTGCATTAAATTCACTGGTATTTATTTAATTTTTGCATCATTGTACTTCAGGAATATTGTCTTATAATTTTCCTTTCTTTTTTTTTAAGATTTATTTATGATACAAGAACTGGGGTACAGGTCAGAGGTAGGAGGGGGTGATGAGAGGATTCACCAGAGACAGATTGGGGAACAGAATAGGCAGACTGACTGAAATACACTGTTGAGGGGAGCAGTGGGTGAGACAGGAGAGGTCTGCTGTGCCATGTGGGTAGCTCCCGGGCCACCCGAGGATCAAACTCGTGCTGCAGAGGCTGTAGATAGCTTCATAGTGCTGTGTTTAACCCCTGGCACCTCCAGGGAGACCCTATAATTTTCCTTTCTTGTGCTGTCTGATTTTGGTATTGGGTGATGCTGGCATCCTAAAATATATTAGGGAGCACTCCTTATTTTATTTTTGAAAAGTTTCAGCAAGGGCATTTAGTCTTATTTCAAGATTTGATAAAATTCATTCTTATTCCAGATTGCATGCTCTTAGTCAGGTTGTTCAATTCATTTATTCTTCCTGGTTTTGTCTTGGTAGATTATATTGATGTTGAAATTTGTCAATTTCTTTCTTTCTTTCTTTATTTATTTTTTATTATTAAATAATAAATTTTATTTTTATATTCCCCCATACAACTGCACATGCCCCATTCTGACCCCAATCCCTCCCCTCCCGGCCCCCACCCCCCAAAAACTGTCTCTGGTTCATAGTTTTTTGTTGATTTTGATTTTCACTTTCTTATAGTTATTCTTTTTCCTGATCCCTTATTTAAGTTTTCTAGATTCCTGCTATGAGTGAGACCATCCGGTATTTTTCTTTTTCTTTTTGGCTTATTTCGCTGAGCATGATCCCTTCCAACACCATCCATGTTGCTGCAAATTGCATGTGTTTATCTTTTTTGAATGCTGAGTAATATTCCATGGTATATATGTACCACATCTTCTTGATCCAGTCATCTATTTTTGGGCATTTGGGCTGTTTCCAAAGCTTAGCTATAGAAAATAGTGATGCTATAAACATAGGGGTGCAGGTGTTCTTTGGAATGGATGTTTCTGTGTCCTTTGGGTAAATACCTAGGAGTGGAATTGCTGGATCATATGGAAGCTCTATGTTTAGTAGGTCCAGAAATCTCCACACAGCTCTCCATAGTGGTTGGACCAGTTTGCATTCCCACCAACAGTGTAGAAGAGTTCCTTTTTCTCCACAACCTCGCCAACATTTGTTGTTGCTAGTTTTTTT